GTGCGATAGACTTACCTCCACGTGGTGCACCCTGGGCAACGTATACTCATACGGCAAAAAAGTCTATTAACCGGCAGTTGACTTCTCACTTCGAACTACCACGACCCCCCTGGTTGTCATATTCGACCCCTTACACTGTACTCACCTTACCTTTTTCTCTACCTTTGTGTCTGTCTGCCTCTTTTACATCGGTGAATCGCTCTTCTCTTCCCCACCCCTCGACTTTCTGCTACTTTGATGAACCTTCCCTCTTTGAAGCCCGAAGTCAGCTAAATGGCTAATGATATCTATCATAATGCCTGCCATTTGAAATAATAATAATTAAGCCTCTCTTCGTGAAAATAACGGAATACGATTGGCGGTTGTATAAATATGATTTCAGCCCAATAAATTAACATCATGATGGAATAAATTTTCGTTGACTCCTTTGCCGCACTATTCATCACAGGTCTCCGCAAATGGCAGCCTCTATTCGCAATGTGCCATTTTGCCCTCATGATGACATCACGTTCCTGTCAAATTTGCGGATCTGATTTTATTGGTCTACTACTACAGTTGATTACGTGTGTTGGTAGCTATTTTTGTTTTATTTATGTTACGATGGTAGCAACTTTATTGCCAATAAAACGATCGGCCTAAGCACAAGAAATTTGTCGGAGAAAGTAAACGGGGTCCTGGCAACATGTTTCGCCAAATTCTACGCAGATATACTTGATTGCATTGCCATCAACTGACATGATAGCTTAATGGGAGGCCCTTAAATACTCTCCGAATAATTCGTTTTCAAATAAATTTGAGGCATTTGGGAAACAATTTGGTCAGATAATAGGCATTCAATTTCAGCAATTAGCAATAAAATAATGGTCCGCTTATAAGAATATCAAATAAGATGGAGGCAATAGTAGTTGAGATTGTAGTTATTATCTTGACTGATCAAAACCGATTTTTGCCAATATGTGAGCGTTTAGTTTCGTAATAAAATTAAAATGAATGTTAAAATCTCTTTCGAGGTTACAATTGTACCTGTTATACTGACAATACCGGTTTGAGAACCCGGAATGAAACGATGGGCACGTTGTTCAGGTATTGTAAACTTCTCAGGTACAATAACACGAAAGTTGTTCACGTACATTTGACTAGAACTGGTCAAATCAATGAAATGAGCTGTATGGAATCTGTTAGGAACCCCATTCATCTAAATGGTACAAAAAAAGAAAATTTTTTTGCGCATAGATTAGCGAATTTCACAAATTTTAAACTAATATTGTCTTAAAGTTAGTCCTATACCGAATAAATTCACATAAATTAGATAAAAATTTTGGCTTTTTTCTGGTTAATAGGAGACTGACCTTGATCGTTTAACTACCAATGAGATCATTAATTCATTCTTACATTCAATCCTTACCTAACTTAATCAATAATCTATTCGGTTAGTCAATTAATCGCTTCCATTATTCATTATCACTATCGGAATCATTTGCTCGTTTATTGCATTTAATTTAGAGTTAGAAGATTTTGTCCCCAAATCAATCACAAGTTTTGGTATAAAATGCTCAATATTTTCAGTACATGTGGTATCTTTTAATCTCGTAAATTTGAGAGTCGATGTGACCAGCTCTATCATTAGAGATATTGAAATAAATGCCCTCGTATGGACGTGAAAATCTGATTTCCCACCCGACCGTCCACCTTAACCTAGTTAAAATAGCTGAGCACACATTCCTCAAACCGCTTGGTAACGAGTTTGAAACGAAGTGAGCTTACATGAACATAGATAGAACGCGTTTCACAATTGGCACCAATAAAGGAGAATGCGCAGATGGTGAATGTGTTGTTTCCAGTTTTGCGAGGCAAGATGGGCATGTAGACGTACTTCGACTCGCCCGCATCCAGGTAAACAAGTGTATCCACCGTTTCGTTCACGGTATAAGCAACTGCCCAGGCTGTTGTAATACCTCCGTAAGAAACTCGAGGCACACCTATGCTGGGGTCTGCGTCCACTCGTACAAGGGCCTAAGGCAATAAACAGGTTAGCACATTTGAAAATGAAAATAGCCTAAGATAATAATCTCCACTTTCCAATCATACAAAGGGGAGTTAATAGCAATCTCTCTATTTGTTAATAAGTAGTATAATTAGCATAAAGTTACGTCACCCATATGGCACCAGTGAAACAGTGAAATGACATCATTTACTTTATACCCTACGGGGTGTGTGATAGACTTACCTCCACGTGGTGCACCCTGGGCAACGTATTCTCATACGGCAAAAAAGTCTATTGACTGGCAGTTGACTTCTGATTTCAAACTGCCATCACCTCACTCTATGCCATATTCGACTATTTCCACAGTACTCACCTCACCTTTTTTTCTACCTTTGTGTTTACCTCTTACATCTTTGAAACACTCTTCTCTTCCCTATCCCCCCCTATCGACTTTTTTCAATTTGATGTTCCCCTCTGTGAAGTCTGAAGACAACTAACGGGCTAATGATAACTATCAAGACGCCTGCCATTTGATATGAATAAATAAATAAATATTCAGCTTTGGAAATGCAAACATGGAGTCGAGAAGTGGAGTCAAGTGTTATAAAACCAACCTACTGGAGAATTATGAACCAAGATTTCAAAAGGTCATTAAACAATGCGAAGCCAACTTTTTTTAAAAATATCGATCGATCACAAATTGGGCATCATGACATCTTAGTGCATTTG